TGTACAATCTTAACAGGTTCGATAAATATGATGGCGCATTATCATTCAAACATTTGTGACATAGGGTGGCCAATTTGTACACAATTCTTTTCTCAACAGGACAACAGAGATGGGAGCACTTTTAAAGGGAAAACATCTGAGGCGCGCACTTTCGAAAAAAAACCAACTATCAAAGCCGCCGCTCACTTTTTGGCGATATCTATATAAGTAGATTGACAATCACCAAAATCAATACCGTCCAACAATTGGTCGCTTTACTTTAAGAAGGATATTTTGGACATAAGGAAACATCAGAGAGCCCAAAAATTGGAAAAGTTACACGATACATTTTTATTTACACATTTTTGATCAAATCCCGAAGGAAAATTGGACAAACTGCGTTTAATATGTCTTGAAATAAACCGTATAATTTCCTTTCCCCATCACACTCACCCTTCAGAAAGCAATAATCTGCTTCTTAGCTTTTCCAGCAACTAGACTTTCCTTCCCTGACTTTTTCTGCATTACAATACTTTGCCTCTTGCCAATGTGTCGGCCTGCGTTGTTTGGGTTTGAACCAAGGTTTTATGTCATGTTTCTGTCTTCTGTTATTACGGTTGGAAACTTTGCCTCTTAAATAACGTAACGGTAATAATAATAGGGAGCATTCGTATAGCGCAATTCCCCGTTCAACAGCAAGCTCTATGCGCTTCACAATCTATACCATTACCCCAGCAGACCTGAGAGCATTCCGAAATAACCTCAACTTCCTGAGAAGAATACAGTGCAAGCGGCCATTTATAGGCGCTATAACACTAACATACTGACAAGATATTTTGCTGTCTATAGCCGGGTACCCATTCCCACCTGGGTGAAGTGAGGAACATTCGTGTAAAATGCCGTTCCCAAGGACACAACGTCAGGCCCGCGGCTCGAACCCCGAACCCCCGAACCCCCGAATCCGCAACCTCACCATTACGAGTCCGGAAGCCTAACCTAACAGTACAGAGAGGTGCGTCAAACCATCATAATTTTACATAGAACGCCCCAACAAAACGGAAGGACAATATCAACCACATACAGAAAAAAAACAGACCACGATATTCTGCCTACGAACAGAACATATACAGCTCAACTTTCATTTGAACAGAATAAATCCAGAACTTTCCCCAATGTGTCCCTTGTGTGACTA